TCCCTTTAAGAATTCAATAAAAGCTATATATTACCTTATCAAGAAAAACAAAAGGCTCATATACAAAGAAATTCAAATTTCTATTGATTTAGAGTCCATGAAATCAATATCCAAGTTTAAGAGGCTCTGCAATAGCAAAAATTTTTAACTATAAGGTGTCAATTGAATTATGACATTGACAAGAGCTGACATCCTGGAAAAGGGCAAAATAGTCACATATTAAATGATCAAATGACTTTTTAAAGTCAAGTCTGATCGGTCAACATATTTTCTAATTTCAGCCTGTTAGAAACCATAGGAATGAGAGGGATATCAGAATAATTTGAAATCATGTTAATTAAATCAGAAAGAATAAACAACAAAATATATTCCTAATATTTAATATTACACAGGTTTTAGATGAATAAAGTTACTTATCCAATCCAACCTGGCTTATAAATACATCCTGTTGGTTTACTCACAGAAATAAACCACATATAGATCTAATAAGCTATTTTTCACCTGAAATTATTGCACATATTTTAAAACCAATCAGTTCACTGAAATCATTGATCACCTAGTTTCTTAAAAGAAAGAGATTCATTTTCTTGGGTAATTGAACAAGAACATGTCCATTCAAAAAAGATACAGTGATGCAGGAATACTAACTTCGAAAATAATTCATATCCAAAAACACTTTGTATTATTTTTGACAGAAATTCTATCTTTAATTTTAAACAGGTTGTAAGATAAATTATGACCTCCACTTTCTTGTCTACTACATGCCTGCAGCCACATTTGTCTGTGAGTGCTCTAACACGCGGCCACTGACACGCGGCCTTAGTCTGTAAGGCCATCATTTCCTAAAATTCCCAGGTGCCAGCACAACTGCTGTAATTACAACATGATGATTCACATCCCTACCACACTCCCACTTCCATTATTCAGTGTAACACCTCATCCTCCACAGCCCCTCCCAGGTTGCAGCATACAGGAATGGGGAAGGGGGAAGTGGTGAGAACAGTGGAATAGGCCTTCAGTGTTTTTTCAAAACTGCAAGCTGCTGTGAAACTGATTTAGTGGGTTGTGACCAGCTTTTTGGTTTGAGGATTTTCTAGGGGGAAGGGGAGAAGCTTAAAATGAATAGAAACGACTTAAAATGAATACAATGAAATAAAATTAATTTAAAATAGAATGCAATATAGTAGAAGAGAAGATATCACAGTACTATACATTGTAAGGATAAGTATCTCTTCAGATATATATGTGTGTAAGTATTTATGGTCAAGGTCTTAATATAAAAGCTATTTTTAAATGTGGGTCTCAGTTTAAAAACAATCTTAAACCTTTAGATTGGAGACCTATGTTCTAGTCTCAGCACAGCCTCCAAATACTGTCCTGCTTATATCTTCCTTCTCAATTTCACCTAACATCTACCTCATAATCATGTTATAAATTAAAATGGTGTCCTGAAACAAAATCAATACATAAAAATCTGTCATATTTCTATGCACTAATAATGAACTATCAGAGAGAAATTAAGAAAACAATCCCATTTACAATTGCATCTAAAGGAATATATATAAGATACCTGGGAATAAATTTAACTGAAAAGACTTAAGATACACTGAAAACTATGACATTAATAAAAGAAACTGAATATACAAATGGGAAGATATTCTATGCTCATGGGAAGAATTAATATTCTCAAAATTTCCATACTACCTACAGCACTATACAGATTCAATGCAATCTCTACCAAAATTTCAATGGCAATTTTCAAAGAAATAGAACAAACAATCCTAAAATGTGTATAGAACCACAAAAACCCTATATAGCCAAAGAAATCTTGAGAAAGAAGTACAAAGCCAGAGGTATTACCAAATTGGGGTAGGGTGGGGTGAAATGGCCTATGGGGGTCAAAAGGTATAAATTATTAGTTATACAATAAGTCATGGGGATGTAATTTACAGCATGGTGATTATAATTAATAATACTATATTGCATATTTGAAAGTAGCTATGAGAGTGGACCATGGAAGCCCTCAGAGCAAGAAAAAATTTGCAACCACAAGTATACCTGTTTTACTGTACTTTGTCCTACTGAACTTTGCAGATATTGCATATTTTATAAATTCAAGATCTGTGGCAACCCTTCATTGAGTAAGTCTATTGATGTCATTCTTCCAATAGCATTTGTCTCTGTGTCACAGTTGGTAATTCTTGCACTATTTCAAACTTTTTCACTACTATTATATTTGTTATGGTGATCTATGACCCCTGATTAAAACTCTCTGAAAGCTCATATGACAGTTAGCATTTTTTAGCAATACAGTATTTTTTAATTAAGGTTTGCATACTGTTTTTTTAGGCATAATGCTATTGCACACTTAGTAGACTATGGTATAATGTAAACATAACTTTTATATGCACTGGAAAACCAAAATATTCACTTGACTCACTTCATTGTGATATTTGCTTTATTGTGGCCATCTGGAACTAAACCCATATTATCTCTAGGGTATGCCTGTACATATGGTGATGGATGTTAACTGGGCTTATTGTGGTGATCATTTCGCAATATATACAAATATGAAATCATGATGTTGTATACCTGAAATTTAGTGTTATGTTAATTATACCTTAGTCTTTTTTTTAAAAAGGTGTCCAGTGGGTACTGTTTTAAATATCTAAGAAAAAAGTACTCTCTTTAGATACTGCAAAAAAAAAAAAAATACCCCAAAACAACTAAAACCAAAAAATAAAACAAAATAACAACCTTATTATTACTTTGAAAAATATATCTATCTGTTCTTGTCCTTTGTACATTCTAGGAACAGCTCATTCAGTTCACATTTTGAACTTGCTTTTGAACATTTTATGTTTCTGTGTCTTTCAGATCCCATGTCTCTGGCTTGAAATTGTTACCTCCATCCTCTAAGGAACTTCATAAATTATATTAAGAAAAGAATCTTTCCCTGTAAATTTCAAAAATTTGGATGATTTTCTTGGGATTTGTGTTTCTAATATTTCCATGCTTCTAGACTTCCTTTGTAAATACTTAACTTTCTACCTCATCTGTACCTCTTAACTCCCTATTCCTTTATTCTTAGAAATTAATGTTCTATTTTAATAGACTCCTACAGCATTGCTCCACTTTATAGTACTTTTCTTTGACAGCTCTGGAACAATCAGCTGGCTGAAACCTACCTTTCAAACTTACTACCCACAAAATTCAGTCAAAGCCATCATGACCACTGGAATATATTTTCAAACTACAGATAAACGTGACTTACACTTGGTCATTTGGCCCAGCCACATAAAATAATCATTTCTGAAGGCCTTAAAAGTTTGCAATTTAGGATGAAGACTTCAGAGGTCTACCTTTCTTAAAAATCTTTAGAAAATTATCTCTTTTGATACAGAGTTCATTTGAAAGACAACATAATTTTTTACTACTCAGTTATTTACTTTCAGCCTTGAATTCTACTTTTTAACATTAAGAAATCACTTCAAAATTCGAAACAAAAATGTCACACCAAAAAAGTGTTATAGTGGATATGGTACTTAAACGAAGTCTATGTCAAAGTACAATTTAAGTAATGAGCTTAATAAGTCAACAGCAACTCTGTCTTCTAATTGCTCAATCCAAAATCTTTGGAATCATCCTGACTCCTCTTTGCTTCCCACACCCATCTCTAATGTATCACGAAATCCTGTTGGTGCTAACCACCCCCATCTCCACTCCATCTCTATCCCCAACGTTATCATCCTGGTTCAACTGATCGCATTTCAGGACTACTGTAACCTGCCCTGTCTCATCTTCTTACTTCTGTTCTTCCCTTCCTAAGTCTGCCCTCAATGCAGTAGGCGTTGTGAGACTCCAAAATCTGAGACAGATCATCTCACTTTCCCACTCAAAACCCCGTAAGGGCTCCCCGCTTCACTCAAAGTAAAGTCTAAATCCTTACAGAGGCTTACATTTTCTAGTTTCTTGTGAGCTCTCTAAGTTTCCTTTCCTATTGCTTTCATTTTCATTCCCTTCACCCCAACTATATTGGCCTTTTTGCAGTCCTCAAACCCACCAAGCATGAGCCAGCCTCAGGGTCTCTGAACGAGCTATTGCCTCTGCTGGACTGCTCTTCCCCTAGACACCTCTGCTTCACCTCCTCAATGAGGTGTATTCTACCTAAGAATAACTGTAAGTTTCCCTCTCCCCACCAATCCAATCTTGTTTGTTTTGCCCTACTTTTTCTTCACAGCTATTTATCACTTTCTAACATATTAAACATACCCCTTATTTAATATGCTAATTGTTTACAGTTTGTCTCCCTCTGCAAGAATGTAAGGTCCATAAGACTTGGGATCTTTGTCTATTCATTCAGAAAGTAGATTTGTGTTTATGTTATAGTTAGATAAAAAGATTTCCTAGTATATTCCAGAGGAACAAGAATTGGTTCCAAAGTTTCTTAAAATGTGCTCTCTCATGTTGATATCACAACTTTCTGGATAGAGATGTCTATTTCAGATTATTTTATGAAATTCGTTTAGTTTTACCAGACATATGATCAGAAGCAATGTATCCACAGATATGTGGCAGGTGTGGGATGGGAATGGGCATATCAAGACATCGCAGGTCCCATAGAGAAAGGAAAGCACTGTTTAAGCAGGCTTCTCTTGCTTTGTCCTAAATAATCTTAAAACAGATGGCAAAAGCTAACTACTAAGTCTGCTGCCATGGAAACCACCATTACAGCAGCTCATCTTAAAGCCACACCTATAAGATAAATGTTTGTCTTTCTATTGTTACAATCTTAACCTGCCAAATTTCACTCTAAGTCTAACTAGAAGGGACAGGTACTCTGGACATACCAACTGACAAAAAAGTCTGAGAAAGACTAATTAATAATAATATCACCTTAAACATAATCCAAATCCAACATATGGAGAAAGGGTTTTACATAATTTGCCATGTTACTCTGCATTCAAGTTCTGCCTTTGTTTTATATTCATGTGTCTTACCTTAATGTTGCAAGCTTGCTCCATCAATCTTCTTGCATTTTCCTCTGCCCTGTATCTCTTTGGAAGCTGAACTCTGAAAAACTTTAAAGCACCTTCAAAATCAGCCTGCAGAAGATCTTCCTTTGAGGTCTATAAAATAATTATAAAGATTCATTAGGACATGCCGGGCTGCATTCAGGACAAATACATTGAAAGAACAATTTCTATTTTCCTGGATGTACTTTTATAGCTAAAATCTAGGTGAGTTGCAAAAACTTGGAGGAAGAGATTTATAACCTCTTGACGTAAGTTGAAGGAAGTCACCATAAATCCTAGAAGCAACAGAAGAATTAACAGGCTAACATATTTAACTCTCATTACCTGAAGATTAGAATGGTGGGTCCTGGCAATGTTAAGCCAAGTTACATCACTGAGAAAAGAAAAATGGCAGAAAAGGAAAACATTCGAACTCTAGGGCTGATGTGTGACTTTAGCTTGCTGTCATTTTAAGGATAGACTAGAAAGCTGGCTGAAGATGTAAACAATGCAGCAAAGTACACCAGAATTCTGAGATAAACACCCGGTGGGAAGATGGCTCTCCAGCTCATGACAATAGCAGATCAAATGATAAAAATATGAAATTGATACCACAACTTAAAGGATGTTATGAAGATGTAAATGAAGCAAGCCACTCAACTACTGAACTTCTTATGAGAACTGTTTGCAAAATGTACTTATTTAAGAAATAACCACTTAGATATAAATATATGCATGCGCAGAAAAAAGATGGAAAGGAATAAAATAAAATGTTTCTTTGGACAGTGGGACAAGATTTTTCTTTATATTTTTCTGTATTTTCTGCTGTAAAGATTTTATAATAAGAAAAACAATAAATATTTTAATAAACAAGTAATATTTGGCAAACACCGTGGTACAAATTACAGATTCAGGCAGACTGGCTACATAGAAGTAAGCCAAAAAGCAATGAGATGTTTTAAGAGTTAGATTTAATTGACAAAGAGTTTATTAATAAAACAAACAAAAAATAATGGTTTGAAATCACAGAACTACACATCAGTTCAAAATATTATTTTACTGACATTCAAATGTAAAGTTGATTAACCAAAGAAGACTGCACTGGAAGAGAATAAGAAGTCAGAGAAATGCCTGCTAACGACAGGCCTGACTTGTCATCACCTCCCTGTCATCTCTTAGGTGGGTCCCTGCAGGAATCCCTTAACAGGTCTCCCTGTATTTGCTCTTGCTGCCCACTACCTACTCTCCTTACAGCTGTCAAATGATGCTCTTTCAGATCATGCTGCTCTTCACTGTAAAGACTCCAGTTTCCACTACACTGTGCTCAGAATAAAACCCAAAATATTTACTAGTGCCCACAAGGCCCTTCACCTTCCCCTCCAACCTCACCTTGAACCACAGTTTCAGGCACACTGCTCTTCAATCTGGTTTTTGTACATACCAAGTTCATTCCTAACTGAAGGCTACTGCCCTTGATTTTCCCTCTGCCTGAAATATTTTTCTCCCAGATCTTCATAAGGATGGCAATTTTCTGTGATGTAGATTTTAGCTCAAATGTAAGATCTGAGTGAGGCCTTTCCCAAGCATTTAAATTCTTCCCTCACATCCTGTCAAGTAATTTTTCACCAAGTCATTTTTTAGTTTTACATTTATTTTCTTCCTAAAGAAAGAAGACTTGTCTCTCTTGTTCACTGCTGTAGCAACAGTGTCAAAACTAATACCCAGAGTATAGGAGGACTCAAAGTGTACTGAAGGAATGAATAAATTCTATTTTCATCTCTCTTTCACCGTGTATAGACATATAATTCTTTTCTCCCCATCTCCCCTCCCCTTTAAACAGAAACATGTAAAATAAAATCACATGCCAATTCATATACCAGGCATTGTCTCAGCTTTAGAAGAGACAGGTTACATGAACTAGTAACCGGGAAGTAGAGCTAGGCTAACAGTGGCAGTGAAAAATCAAGCTTCAGTATATGACAGATTTATTTCCTCCCTCACAGATACTTAGACATGATAGCAGTAAGTTGTGGAGAGAATGTTTAGCATGATTGCATGCTATCAACTCACCTTAACTTGGTTGGAAAAGGCAGTTACTAGAAACAACATCAGTCCAAAAGAGGGCTCCTCCAACTAAAATTTCAACTGCTGATTATTGGGAAAGCATTTAGCTACCAGTTACACCAGACAAGCTGCATTCCTGCTCTTCCTTTTTCATCTGTAATACTGGTTCTGATGACTAACTCTCTGGTAATTACTGGGAAAATTCAAGATGAGCTGCATATAGAGTTCATAGGGGAACAGGATGAGCAGCTTTCCTCACTACTAAAAAGTTCTCTGAGGGCACTACTACTTCTACGTCCAGTGCAACTAACCTTTAGTTACCTGGTAACAGATGCCCCAAAATTGTGGGAAGCAGTCTCTTGTCTACAGACAGCAGTATGGTTACCTAATTTTCTAGTAATGCCCCAGACTTAATTTCCAGGCTCTGAGTTCATACAGAAGCAGAAAGGTTAGGATGAAAGATGAGTTTTCATACATCCTGTGACATCTGACCTCTGGCCAGACAGGGATGGCCACGTAGACAGAGATGCTGTTTGGAGGAGGCTATGGTCTCAAGGGAGGTGCAGCAAGGAGCTCCCCACCTGGACTCAGGCCAAGAATCTGGAAACCAGAATTCAGAGCCTGTGACTGTCCTAAGGCACTGTTGGTGTTAATGATGTTCTAGATCACATGGCTTGCCCAACTCACTTAAGTCCAAAAAGAGAGTTCAGACAATCATGGAGCAGGGAGGCTCAAGTAGACAAAAGTGTGGAAATTGTATCATATTCCATCCTCTAACCCAGCCTCTAAAAAGTACAATTAAAAGGCAATTAAAGGTACTCAAACAAGGTTACAAAGGTTGGAATAAATTCATTCTAATTTGAACTCTGGCTAACGCATGGTATTGGCTAAGTCTTCACTATTCTCGTACTTAAAAAATGAGAATATCTTCAACCCCAAAGTATTTGAAAATGAAATAAGATATGAAATAAGAGTGCATTTTGTGAACCTCAAGACAAATATAAGGGATGATGGCTTGGAAAGTTATCTCTGTGTTGCTCAAAGATGCTCAGATATTGCTATTTTAGTAGCTAAAAACAGTAGTACCCTGTTGTCACTGAGATTTTTTATTCCAAAAAAGCAGTTGGTCTCAGTTGAAAGAATTTATATTCTTCTCAAGGACTGAAATAAAGCTAATTTCATTGGGAATGAAAAAGACATGCCACAAGACAACCCTTGGGGGAAAAAAATGAGCCAGTAAGCAAAAAACATATAAACAAAAACCTTGCTTGCCAGTGTTCTAAAAGACAACCTTTAGTTCTATTCTGATAGGCTTTTTTCTCCAATTTTCTCTTTAAGATCTTCCATAATCATTAAGTATCACTTCAAATGCCTCCATATGCCATAAGTAGATTTATCAGTTTATGGGGCTAACCCCCCATTTACTGACAACTGTATCTGAGAGGTTTTTCCCTCTACAATAGAGGAATAGATATTCCTTGCTTTGCAAAGACTTAGGTGCCTCACTATGAATTTATCAGAAAATTGGTTGTTTTTTAATACATTTAAAAAATCATAATTTATATACATATGTATATTCTACATAGGAAGGTCATAGATTTTTTCATTTACTTAATATATTAATATATCACTTACTTAAATATATTTTTTATATTCACTGCTCCCAAAAAAAGGAAGTATTTTTTAAAGGCCTAACAGGTCTCACCACCTAGAGATAAACATAATTAACATAATTAACATTTTGCTCATTGCTCATAGTCCTTTTTTTCTATCCCTACACACATATATTACATACATTTAGTTGAATCACATCATATGTGTTACTTTGTTTAATATATATGCTTCACAAAAAGTCAAGAATTTATGTAATAATATTAGTCCAAAATATAAGTACTCTCTATGAAATTAAAACATGATTTCAATCATACAAACTAATCAATAATGAGCTGGGTATGGAGATGCTGATTTAATTAATGGTTATAATTTAGTTTATAATTGTATGAATGATCATCTTCTACCCTGACAGTGAAGTTAACACGTGATTTTGTGACAAGACCCAAGCTTTAAAAATGCACCCCTAAAAGGCAGACTAACATTTGAAGAACTAAACCAACAAGCCAAAAGAGGCTGTATAGGCTCCTGGATATCATTAGTCACCTGTGCTCTCCACACAGAACCTCATGGGGCTAGAAGACTTGATTGAACCTGGAAAAGCTGTTCTTCAACTGGGAAATTCCTAAGAATTTGTCTATATCACCTTCAGAACAGTCATAAGGAAAGAGTAAAATAATGAAGTGCAATTACTTCCCCAACATTACTTGTTAAGTAATGTTAGCCAGAAGATAATATAGACAAGAATTAGGGAAATTTGGATAAGCAAAAGCATGTTTTCTTCCTTTGTAAAATAAAGGAAAGAACTCTATCAGCTTTTAAATAAGAATAAGTGATAACTTTTGAAAATTAATGGCTCTACCAGATATAAATCCAAGCATATATGGTCAATTAATATACGATAAAGGAGCCATGGACACACAATGGGGAAATGAAAGCCTCTTCAAGAATGGGTGTTGGCAGAACTGGACAGCTACATGCAGGAGAATGAAACTGGATTATTGTCTAAGTCCATACACAAAAGTAAACTCAAAATAGATCAAAGATCTGAATGTAAGTCATGAAACCATAAAACTCTTAGAACAAAACAGAGGCAAAAATCTCTTGAATATAAACATGAGCAACTTTTTTCTGAACGCATCTCCTTGGGCAAGAGAAACAAAAGCAAAAATGAATAAATGGGACTACATCATGCTAATAAGCTTCTGTACAGCAAAGGACATCATCAGTAGAACAAAAAGGCATCCTACAGTATGGGAGAATATATTCATCAATGATTTTTCTGATAAGGGGTTAACATCCAAAATACATAAAGAACTCACACGCCTCAACACCCAAAAGGCAAATAACCCTATTAAAAAATGGACAGAGGCTATGAACAGACAATTCTCCAAAGAAGAAACTCAGATGGCCAACAGGCACATGAAAAGATGCTCCAC